GAGGGAAATCGGTGCCCAAAGTGAAAGCGACGAACCAAGTTCGAATTCCGGGTTAGTCTTATGTTCACTTCCGTATCAATATCCTGGGAAAAGCTAGGAATCCGTCTTTTCTCCCGTCGTTAAATAGCAGGATAAACTGTTTAATATCTCGGGGGGGGGGGAGACCAACTTAACATATGGAAAACTCAGAATTCCAAAATTTAGAGCAATTACCAGGAAGCCAGTCCACAATATTTCTTAAGAATGCATGGGAATTTGCAGTTAAGAAATATCTTTGGAGAATCATGATTGTCGATGTTCTGAAGAGAAATTTCATTAAAAATAAATAAAATAGGCGACGACATTCCGAGAAAAAAAAGTCTGTGTATAATACGCAGTGATAGAATTATTTAAACAAAAATAATAACACCGGTAAGATACCCAGGGTCTTTCAAAAACTAAACCTCAGCATTAAAAAAAAACATTCCATTTGTTCGTTAAGTACAACCACCGGCAGGAATAAGGCCACGAGACTGACATCTATGGGACACGTCCCTTCAAGGCGGAAATAACCCACGAAAACGGAACAGATGGTCATGCTCCTAAACGAGCAGCCATGCTGATTGTGAAGTGTCTCAACTGCAAATCAGTGTGATTTTAAATTGAAACAGCTCTCACGACGGTACTGAACCGAATATGGCGACGCATGTGATAGAAAAAAGTGTTAATATTTATCGACTGTGTATCTCTCCTGCCCCAATGTAAACTTAAATATCTGATAAAAATTTGTATTATATACTAATAACTAAGACACTATTAGGAATCCGATTTCAATAACGCTCAGGGGCTGGTGCCAGACTTAAATAAGTTTAGCTTTCGTCTGCCCTGCTGCAGGGTTGTGGTTAAGAAGTTTCTCTCGCACTCCGTATTAACCGCTTCCATAATTGCGGTTGTCAACACAAAGATATAATAAATTATTGATATTAATGGGATGTTGCAAACATACATATTTATCGCGGGTTTAAGCTCAATTTTCCTTTATTCCTGTAGCATAACCGATAGCAATTGGGATCGACCAACAATTCAGAAAAGAACGCTAATTACTGAAACTGGCTAAACTCGACTGGAAAATTACAGTTTTCCATTTGTTTTTTGATGGCGCAAGTCATGTGGGAATATGAACACTTCAAATATCTCGGCGTATGGATTAATTCAAACAAATGTCGTGCTTATACTAGAGACAGTATGCAAATACTGGTTAGGTTTATACTAGAGACAGTATGCAAATACTGGTTGGGTTTATACTGGTTGGGTTTACAATATGCAAATAAATACTGGTTTTTATTTATACTATGCAAATACTGGTTACAATATGCAAATACTGGTTGGGTTTATACTCGATACAATATGCAAATACTGGTTGGGTTTATACTCGATACAATATGCAAATACTGGTTGGGTTTATACTCGATACAATATGCAAATACTGGTTGGGTTTATACTCGATACAATATGCAAATACTGGTTGGGTTTATTCTCGATACAATATACAAATACTGGTTAGGCTTATATTATTATCTATAGGCAAATATTTTTCAATTTTAAACTTGAGTCTCTCAGTAAACAAACTAGAATATAACAAAATTGAAGGAAGAATAAACTTTTAGGCTTATATTATTATCTATAGGCAAAAATTTTTCAATTTTAAACCCAAACAAACTAGAATATAAAAAAAATTGAAGGAAGAACCAAAAATATTGACCTAAAAACCGACCTAAAAACCGTCTTAAAAGATCAATGAATAAAATGCCTTCAAGCGATTTAAGATGATGACCGTTAACCGTTCATCACTACTATACAAATCGACAATAACTTGAAGCGTATATTCGTGAACTTGGTTACATAATAATTTTGAGTTCAATCCTTCGGCTGGGTTAATGCAGTGAGAATAGGTCGAGCAATAAATAAACAAGAACAGGACAAGATATCCCAAGACATGAACAGTGAAACGAAAATAATCTGACGCTGAAGATTAAGTAAAGTCTTCTCTTCGAATTTCCCTGAAGGTTTTCCGAGTCGACAACAAACTGAGGGGCACAACAGCTGAAACGTTGTGTTGATAACAGCGTTGGCAATTTTAACACTACTTAAATATACTGGTCCACTTGTTTTTAAGTGTGGGAATTAGATTTTTTTTAAGATGACACATTTATTTTTATCTCTTAAGCTGCAATAATTGTCAGAATAAAAAAATAACCTTAAAAAAAGGTCCTTATAATTATCGATAGTGTGCCAGATCGATCTCTGATTTTTACATTTATTAGACTTAGCCTGTTTTCGTAAGAACAGTTAGTTGGGGCGGGGTCATAATTGTTTGTTTTAAATAAAGAACAAACACCCCAGGGTATTAGCGCGTAAGTGAATATAACGATTCTCAATGGATTTCAATCTGTTATCAGGTGTCTCATTCTATCACAAATCCTAATGATACGGTGCTTTATATATAATTATTTTTTTATTTTTTTTTTAGAACGTTATAGCAAACATTGTAAAGGTGTATTTCGACTCTCATATGTGACTTTAGTTTTTGATACTATGCGTTCTGAAATATTTTGCCAGGAGTTGAATATTATCAGCTAAAACTATTTAAATAGTGGTCCACTCCTAAAAAAGAAAAAAAAAAAAAAAAAAAAAAAAAGAGTAAAAATTAGGGGTGGGGAATAACAAATTTGTAGATTAGCATCGTTAATGAATAATTCGAAAGCGGGTCCTGTTCAAAAAAATAAATACGGTTTCAAATCGCTCGTTCATTTTAACACTTACTGAAATTAACTGTTATTTTTAAAACGCAATTTTGAATGTGTTGTTACACACACACACATTATTATATAAGAAAGAATAGATGAAGTAAAATCCCGCTGTTCGTTGCATTTACTTTTATAAGATTGCTCAATATAAAGTAAAGCAATATTATATTATTCTATTATAGGATACTAAATCAAAAAATGTGAATGCTCCGAACAGAGTAATTTTAATTCATTTGTTCTTTCTCTCATTTGGATAATTCGCTCCCTTCACGGTAGAGCACTTTCTATATTTAGTTTATTTTTTAAATTTACATGAAAAAAAAAAAAAAAAAAAAAAAAAAAAAATTAAAATCTCTCGAGAATATTCCCATTATAAAGGAACATGATTATTTCATAAAACTAGGTCTAATCACATGCCACTTAACATCGCCTGAAGAGGTCAATCGTAGTACCGAAAGCTAATGGGTAGCGATTCAACAGGTTTTTGTTCTAATATCCGAGAGGGAATTTTTGCCCCAGCCTACGGGCCCGGTTTTGCCCCGCATCCTTCCACGCGGGGAGGTAAGATAAATAACCTTGCTTCGGCAATTAGTTCGAGATTCGTCTCCAGCTGCGCTCGTCGAATTCTCTGCTTTCGGGCTGGGAGGAGCCCGGACAAGGCTATGCTGAAGGGCAGAGACTCGTTTGGGGTGGTAGGCAGCTACCTGACCCCGTTTATACGGGGTCTACGGGAAATTTTTGCCCGAGCCTACGGGCTCGGTTTTGCCCAGAATTTAAAAAAAAAACGGCATTGTGCCACAACAAGCCTCGCGGGTAGATACGCTAAATAAACTTACTTCGGGAATTACTAGCCTGCCACCCGATTCCCTGTCTTCCAGTAATGTATTCTCTTTTACAATAAATCTCTCTTTCATCTATGGCTGTGATGCTGTTCCTTTCACTAGAGTAACACCTTTGTCTGTCTGTAATCTCTTTAAGGATACAACAGTGGAGTCCACAATAGGTAATAGGGTGAGTGGAATATTCCATTACAGTAATATCTATAATCCTTTCCAACTTTAGAATAATTTTTTGTATGCCATTAAAAAACAGAAAAGAAAAATATTTCCCCAGTTTTTATATCATTTTCGGAAATAAGTCTTCTTTATACATTCTGTAAGCAACGAGTTTTCTCAGGATAAACATATATATATAAGATATTTCTGTAGGTACAAAATTTAATGATCGAAATAAAAGTGTAAAATTTAATATTACAAGACATTAAAACAATATTAAATAATAATAAAAAAAAACACTCAACAACAAGGGGGGGGAAGCAACCGGTTTCGCTCCCGCTCATCAGGCTTCCACGGGAGATTCAAAATTAAAACAGAGAAAGGTACAATCAGAATAGGTGGGAAAAAATACATATATATACCTGTATATATGCAAGAAGGAACTATATATATATATATACATATATATATATATCTCCATTTAAAAGGGAAGTGGGGTTCCTTCATATATCGATACGGTGTGATTTTTACAGCCACTAGATTTTTTGTACGAAAACAGACCATTTAGATATGGGAAGAGAAATATTTCCTTTAAATAAAGAAAAACGGATACATCTATTATGTGACGTGTCTCTTTAGCACGTAATCTATCATGGCCCCGTACATGTTGTCCTTCGTAAAGTTTGTCTACAAACCGTTTACCATGATGATAATAAAGATAAAGACAATAGTCCGACACTAATTAATGTAGATAGTCGCAGTAACGTCTAAGTTAACTTAGCAATTATGTATTTTAGACGTTAATCAAAGTCGGTGGTATTCTAACTGTTAAGTAATTAAAATAACATCGAAGAAACTGTCATGAGCAAGAATAGACGAAATAGCCGATAAATTAAACTAAGTTACTATTTCCGTTCAAACATATCCAATATTATCGATTATTGATAAATCCCTAAAGATAAACAAATCTTTCTTCTCCTAGTTCACTAATGAAGAAAGGCGTTCTCTCTACAATAAGCTATCAGCACACGAGTTCCGACACATGCGAGTATTTCGTCTTAGTAGGTTTTCAGGCACAAACTATAGTTCGTAGATCAATATGATAATGTCTGCCTGTATGTTTATTTAGGCAACAATCGATCTTTAATAAAAGCCCGACTGCAGATAAGGATTTATAAATATGTTCAATATGCCCGGTAATAAAAATAGTCGAATAAAACTAGCGGTTTTGTTTTTCATTACGGCCATGACCATGGAGGAAAGGACTGATCTCAAATGATTTGGTCAACAGGTACACTTGTTGGATCGACGTATGTGTTCTCGTGTAAACAAACAACTTAAAAAAAAGTTCATTATCAGAGAAATGAGAGAGCGGGTGAGAAAAGTTAAAGAGAAAAGAGAGAGAAAAAAGGAAGAGAGAGAGAAGAGACGTGAGACGAGACGTGAGAAGAGAGAAGAGACGAGAGAAGAGGAGAGACGAGAGAAGAGACGAGAGAAGAGGAGAGACGAGAGAAGAGACGAGAGAAGAGGAGAGACGAGAGAAGAGACGAGAGAAGAGGAGAGACGAGAGACGAGAGAAGAGAAGAGAGAAGAGAGAAGAGAAGAGACGAGAGACGAGAGGAGAGAGAAGAGACGAGAGAGAGAAGAGAAGAGACGAGAGAAGAGACGAGACGAGAGAAGAGAGGAGAGACGAAAAAAGAGGAGAGACGAGAAAAGAGGCGAGAGACGAGAAAAGAGGCGAGAGACGAGAAAAGAGGCGAGAGAGGAGAGAAGAGACGAGAGAAGAGAGAAGAGACGAGAGAAGAGAAAAGAGACGAGACGAGAGAAGAGAAAAGAGACGAGACGAGAGAAGAGAAAAGAGACGAGACGAGAGAAGAGAAAAGAGACGAGACAAGAGACGAGAAAAGAGAAAAGAGGCGAGAGAAGAGAAAAGAGACGAGAAAAGAGAAAAGAGACGAGAAAAGAGAAAAGAGACGAGAGAAGAGAAGAGAGACGAGAGAAGAGAAGAGAGACGAGAGAAGAGACGAGAGAAGAGACGAGAGAAGAGACGAGAGAAGAGACGAGAGACGAGACAAGAGAGAAGAGAAGAGACGAGACGAGAGAAGAGACAAGAGAAGAGACAAGAGACGAGACAAGAGAAGAGACGAGAGAAGAGAAGAGAGAAGAGAGAAGAGACGAGAGAAGAGAGAAGAGAAGAGAGAAGAGACGAGAGAAGAGAGAAGAGACGAGAGAAGAGAGAAGAGACGAGAGAAGAGAAGAGAGAAGAGACAAGAGACGAGAGACGAGAGAAGAGGCGAGAGAAGAGACGAGAGACGAGAAAAGAGACGAGAGAGAGTAAAAAAAAAAAAAAGAAGAGAATCAAGAGAAACTATTGAATAAATGTCAGTGTTACTATTCAAATACAGGTAACTGAACAATAACGTGCTCGTCTACTTACAGACTCATCAAATGCTCATGGACACGTCCATATTTGGATGCTTTCAAATCAAACTCAAAGGAAGAAACATCCTTTATAATAATGATATTAATGTCGATTAAATCTCTCTCACACATACATACATATAATTTCTGTTTTTTATTTACAAATGTATATGGAGTGTAACGACGAAGTTTTAGCGAAAGTGGAAACAAAATAGACACTTCTACGTAGCATTACATGCGATTTCTATGGCACATAATGACGAAAGGGGGCTTTCAATATTTGACGCTCAAGACATATGGAAGGTGAGAGGGACAAAAGAAAGCAGAACATAACCTACTTAAATGGTTTGTTGATCCGATGTTTGGAGCAAAAAAAAAAAAAAGTGGGGTTTACTAAGCGCTTCAAAGGTCAAGATCTTGTGGAGAGACATGATCACCTACGTCGTAAACGGATAACTGTATAAATCAGAGATTGATGCGACACTGTATCGATAATATAATAAGGATCCTTCCTCTTTTAAATGGATAAAAACACGATTTTTTTTTATTCTAACAAATGCCTATTTTTTTAACAAGTGTACCAGTATATTTAAGTAGTGCTAAAATTGTGTACACTGCAATTATGAAAGTTTGCTTTAACATATAAGATATCATTTTTTTTAATTACTGCTATTATTGATTGGTTTTCTATAGGTTATCAACACTTGGCAGGTTATTTCAAGGCATAAATATATTTAGATTGTAAGATTCTTTTTAGTCATACAAGTTTTACTAATTAACCCATATCCGTGGGGAGAAGAGGTGAATTCATAACATTCTCAAGGGTATTTACGCATAAGTGAATAAATTGAACCCGAAAAGAATTGGAACTCGCCTCTCCGATTAACACTTTTGACCCATTATCCATTACACCATCCGCATATCTAAGATTACAGCACCTGGTATTACCAAGGGGTCACATTGTCTAGGTAGTGATCTGGCTCGACGTTGCTTAACTTCGATGATCCTACGTGAACTGTCGTTTCAACGTACTGTGGTCGTAAGTCATTTACTGAGGTTAGATTTAAAAATAAAAACACGAAATCGTGAAGTTGGCGGTTGATTTTACGACTATTCAATCTATTTTAGGTCAATTTTGTATGGGGGCGCCTAGTGACTCACAGCTCACTAATAATGATCAACATTGGATATTTGAACAGATTGATTAATTCATTCATTCGAGTTTCTTGTGTCTTACTGGATATTTCACACATTTCTCGATATCAGTTTGTCAATACCTAAGGAACCCAATTTCTTGTTTTTCTTTACAGCCACTCTTCGCGGAAGCAATTTCGCGCGTTTAACTGCAGATGATATTTCTGCAGAACCTCAGACGTACATTTATCAGAAAAAAATAAACTGAGAGAATGCGCTAAGCATAAAACAGACTTTCGCCACTGAGTGTTGACTTCAGTGTCCACGGAATCGTCATATAGCCTGACGTTCTATACGAGTTTAGCTACAGATGAGCGTCTGGTTAGCAAATTCGATTATACTGCTTTTAAACTACAATTTTCCATGTTTTCCCTCGAACATTCATATATGCTCGCAGCGTATCTAAACGTTTAACAAAGATGTCACACCCTACGAAATGGAGAATGTCTATAAAGTAAAGCATGTGAGGCTCTATGACGGTTCAGTGTAGAATACAGCTTCGATTCCTGTCGGAGGACGCATATTTTCTATGAAAATTTCTCGGACATTCAAGCCGGTAAATGTTGTTAATACTGTTTGTTATAAACAGAACATTTACTTAAATATTTTTTCTATCTAAATAACGTATAACAATAAAATATATTAAAATAATTGTCGGACTTTGTCCATTTCGTAGTATATAATAATAATAATAATAATAATAATGGACTCTCCTGTCGGTTTCGACGTATGAGGATCTGACAGCTTATTGATTCAGTGATGAAAGTTTGTGCGATAATCTTAAGTGGCGTTTAAGACCCGCTAGGGATTTACAAATGAGTCCACATATGGAGCAAGTGTGAGAATTGTGAGATGAGATTACTTTTAGATTGGCTGACCTTTTAGATCTTGCTCTCGCTTCTTGAAGATGATTCAGACAAGCAAATTGAAAATTGCTGAGTCCATATATATATATATATATATATATAGGAAAAATGTATGTATATTTAGCTGACGTGTTTCATTCAATGTGAACTTTTTCAAGACAAAAAAAGGATTGAATTTAGTGAAACAATGTATCTATAAACAAAACGTAAAATGTCATTAATAACTAGAATTTAAAAACGCTATTATATATTCATTGGGTCAACAGAAAAATTATGTAATTTCATTTTTGTTTGAATTGAATTTTTTTCAGAAATAGTAAATATTGTTTTTATTATGGTTTTAACGGATTCAACAATTTTCTTTTGATTTCTTGATATATTTATTGTGTATGTTGGCTTGGGAGAGTAGTGATTTCTTTTAGGAAAGGTAAAATTGGGAAAACAAAAACGGGGCGTATATTAATATTTGGATAATATTCAATGGCAGCACTCTCGAGGATTTTCCTTCTGAATAAATTATTTTCATTTTTTTATGAATGTAGCATTTTTAAAATAAAAATTATGGTCAAATTTATTTCTAAGTATGACCAGCGCATTTGTCAAATTGTTATTTCCGAGGTCTCTTTTGTGCACATAGATGTGTTTTTTTTTGTTTTGTTTTTTTCTGCGGGTTTCTCCAATATATTGTGAGGAACAGTTTCGGCAATGTATTTTATATATGCCTGCCTCAGAAATATTTTTATATGTGTTTGTAGATATGATTATGTCCATAATGGTTTTGGAAGTGTTTTTGATTATTTGGATGGAATAGGTTGTTCTGGATGTTAGTAAGTTGCTCGATAGTAGGTTAATTGGCAGTTTATCACTCGCGCTCTGTTTGCATTAAACATTTCCCGAATACTTACATTTATGTGAAATTCTTGCTTCATTCGAATCTGAATTCATAAATTTGATAACATCTACCGTTTTGGATTTATCGACAGTAAAATTTCGGATTCATTCGCGTCGTTTGCGGCAGCCATTACTAGCGTTGTTTACATACATTCGCCGTGGAAAGCTAAGCGCGAAAGCAAACGTAGTTAACGGCCTTGATTACTGGTCATACTTGTCTCAATTATTGCGCATGAGATCTATATTGCGTGCGCAATAATCAAGACAAGTGCATACCCTACGCATAGCTAGTCCGCAAGGAATGGAGGCAAACAACACCAGCAATGGCTGCCGGGACGTGAATGAATATAAAATGTTACTGTCGATAACTCCAAAACGGTAGATTTTATCAAATTTATCAATCCAGATTCGAATGAAGTATATGCACATATATTTAAGTATTTTTAATGCGAGCTGATCGCAGGTGCTAAACTGTAAATTAACCCGGCAGTATTATGTATATGTTCTTTTATCATTTATTATTATGGATTTATATATCTCAGAATATTTTTTCCATTTTTTTTATAATGCTGTATTATTGCATGCAAACATTGGATGCATCTGCTTAAAGACAATCTTTTGAAAATAGACTGGAAATTCTATTTGAGTTACAAATTTACCTTACGACGACACTAAAAAAAAAATAGACTGCAGTTTCTCTTGTGCAGCTGTGGTCCTATTTATATTAACATTCCAACAAATATCCACATATTTATAATATTTCATTCATTATACTCTGTAGCCTCCTACAAATACAATTTGTAAAGTTCGAAAATAAAGTGAATTCGACTATATTCCCATGTATCGGACTCGTTACGCATGCTAGCTGACGTGCAGTTGCCGGTAAGAAATGTCGCGGATTGACCAGGCGCTCGACATGCACCGGCCTTTGTCAATTGTATTTTATCTCGCAAAGTTAGAAAACTAAATTAATTCGTTTCGGTGATCATATATCGAAGGGACACAGGATATACAGTTTCTCCATCCTGCCCAAATAGAAACACAGATTCCATTTGACACACTAAACCCAATAAAATCAGTAAGTGAATAACACTACAGATTTCTTTCCCCTCTTTTTGACCCGACCTTCAAATATCAAGTCCTCACAAGGTAAAGAAATTCAATTTTAAGAGTAAGAAAACCAATTCGTATAATCCTTACTACCAGGGCTGTTCGATTTAAATCAAACTGATCACGATTTAAATAATTTTTTAATTCGCCGATTGAAATCGATTTTACAGCAAAAGATTTAGAAAGGAATCTTTTTTTTGTTTTAACCTAAGTTCTCGAAAAAAGTGGTAAACATATTGAATCAATTTAAGAAAAAAATCAACTGAATAATTTTTGTACAATAATGTAAAATTTTAACCATTCAAAAAAAAAAAACAAAAAAAAACTTTAAAATTCTACATGAGCAGTGTTTGCCATCATGGATTTAAACAAAAAGACAATGTTGGCTGCTTTATCTGCACCAAAACGGTTTCTCGGTCTACAATGCACCAATTCATACGACGAGAAAACACGTTGATTGCCAGAAAATAAGGCCACTGCTGGAAGGAGTTGCTTAACCACAGAGTGTATTGCCAGATTTCAAAGTGAAAAAGCAAGATATAGGAATTTTTTTTAAGCGTTTCACCCCAAGCAAGGCGAGAAGCCACTAGGACGCAAGGGGTTACAGAAGATTTGGAGCAAGATCAGATAGGAGTGATAGAGGAAAGGATGAGGAGAGGGATAGTGTATAGATCATGGCAACTGGAGATGTCGATTGACATTACATTTGAATAGCTGGAGATTATAGCTCCCAGGGAAACTGGAATAGGGAAGGGATTTCCACAGGCGAGAGGTGTGAGACGTGAATCTATTTGAGTAGAAGAGACGGCTACATTTAGGAGTTTCGACAGTGAAGGGGTGAGAGCGGGATGCCAGCCTCGTAGTTCGCTTGTATGCATGGAGAAGAATAACGTCTTCCGCATTGACCCAGGCACGAAGGGGCGCAATCGTCCGGTGCTGATGTCACATACAACTTCCAATTCTGTGTTTGGTACATGTATTCTCGACAACGTCAAGGATGTGTGGTTCTCTCGTAGCAGATGCTGTAGTTGCTGATCATTTTCCTGTGCTTGGAAAACCCAGATCTTAGCTTCCACTGGCAGTGATCCTAGCAAACAGCTCATAATAAAACTATAGGATTTATGTACAAATCAAATAGCTGACAAACACCATGTCAATCTTTTAAGCTACTTCAAACTGCTTTAAGAATAAAATAGTTGTATGACATTAATTGAAAAAAAAAAGTTAATCGAACAGCAAACAAAGATTAATTTCAATGTAGAAGCATAAAAAAATGGTAAAAATTAGATGTAGATATTCATCGACCAAACTGGGAAAAAGTCAGCCAGATATAACCAAATCTGTTAATCTAGCAACCCAAGATTATCCTAATGCCTGTTTTACTCCCTTAAGCTATTCGTATCTGCTATACTTTTTCTTTCTTTATATGCATTTTTTTTTAAATACGTAAAAATAAAACAAACTTGGTTAGTACCTAGAGATGCAACAGCGGAAATGCTATTTCCACGGAGTCGAATCGTTCTCATTTCCTCCGTGTTGAAAATGTTCAGATTTCGCATGAAGAACTGTGAAATGTTTTTCCCATCGAAACATTGTAATGTTAACCTCATCAAGTCAAGGGTCAATTTTTATCTATCCTTCTTATCCTTATAATCTCCATTTCCTACCACACATCTCAGTCATCGTTATAATTATAAATGCAACGCATTATCCCGAGTGGTTTTCAAGCGTTGTACTGTAGACATTTACTTCATAAAAAAAAATAACATTGATATGATTCTATTTGGTTTTGATTTCGTTCTTGCTTCGAATATAATGTTGACTTAGAGGGCGTATTAATAATACAATAGTCGTATCGTATTTCATAAGGAGTATTTTTAATCTCCCATTGCCTTTTGAAATTCTTACATCACACTAGTCTTGGCCTTGTATGTATTTACTGGACGAAAAAAAAAAACAAAAACAAAAAAAAAACTTGGGAACAAAGATTAATTATGAAATACAGAGTGAGCCAACACAGTCTTACACGATAACAATATGTCTTTGACACTATTTCTTTGTTTAAATACGCGATAATTCAAGCACGGCTAAATGTGAAGAAAACAGATTTAGAAATAATGTGTTGCTTTATTATAAAAATGGCGGGGACGACCTGCCTAGAGTAAAATATCGAACTATCTCAATTCTAATATTGTGCAGGAGCTCAGACACTGACCTTTTTTTTTCTTATTCAAATAGAACAAAGATTGATTGTTTGCCGGCCTCTATAATTTTACTTTACCCACCGTTAGCATTGTTGGTTCTTATCCCAACAGTACTACAGTGGGTTTTTCGAAAACCTCTTTCAAAATATTATTGATTTAATTATTTTGCAAAATTTACTAAACTCCCTGGAGATACATCAGACAAACAACTTAGTTATTTACATCTTTGGACCTAACCTGGATAGATATGCTCGCGGAAGATTTCAACATCTCGATACAATATCGCGAAATTGCGGTTATTCAGAGGAAAAAGAGGCGGCTATACGTTATTAGCTAGCTATTTAATATATTTTGGGCATACGAGAGTCTGCATAGGGGGCATCGGGAGATTAACCACACGGCAGTAGACTGCGCGGGTGCAACAACGACACGCGCCTAGTCCTCACATATGTTACATACTGGACTTAATGACTATATATATATATATATATATATATATATATATATATATATGTGTGTGTGTGTGTGTGCGCGTGCGTATTTAGGCAGCAATCCTTTCATGCACATTTCATTGAATACAACAGAGTGCTGTTATTTAGTTTTTTTATATGATTTCTCATGCCATCTAATATTTTTTTCCTTTTCGGATGGTAAACTATATAAAAACTGTCCGAATGTTCTTTTTGTCCGAGCACTTTCGGCTATACATTAAGCCATTTTCAAGGATTACATATTTTAACTGATGAGAAATAGCTTGTATGCATGTTTTATAAAATGTTTTCATTTTTCAAAACACGGTCAAGATATTGGGTCCATATTCAAAGTTAATATTATTAAGATTATTAATAACCATATTTCTTATTTAGCAGTTAAAATATTTAATACTAGAAAATGGCTAAATGTATAGCCGAAAGCGCTCGGATAAAAAGAACATTCGGACAGTTTTTATATAATTTCTCATTCGAAAAGAAAAGAAAATATTGGATAGCATGAGAAATATATATATATTTGTTCTTTTGACAATTCATATGTAAGTAAATATATTTTTTAAATAATTTAATCTCTTCAAGGCACCTTTATCTACACCAATTTGCATTAGGATTCCAAGATTGGCCATTTCTTTTAAGAGCTTATTCAATTTATAAATATAACATTAGATATGATCAACAACAAGGATATGATCAATGTGTCTGGCGACAAGAACAAACACAGGGAAATTGGATTAGAGTTTTTTTTCCTACAGTTTAAAACATATGATTAAGCATCCACAACCTGAGTTCGAATACTTTACTAAAACTTATTTATCTATTAATAACATTGGACTTTTTGCACCTCCGATAGCTATCATGGTGAAACTCCTTGGAGGGTGTTTATAGTTGACGAGCTAATATTGTTGACCATTCTTTTTATGTTATGTCACGTAGACTATAATGGCTCGCCACAGCTTTCGCTTATTTTCTTTTCCGTGGATTGTCATGGCTTGTCCAGAAATATGGTGGTGTGGCTTCTCATTTTATTCTTCAAGGTGTGAAATTCAAAATAGTCCTGCTCCTAGACCGACTACCACCTAATTCTAAGTAACCCAGTCTACCGAATTATTTAAGTCACATTTAAGGGAGAAAAGGTTTTAGTGTGAAAATGAACGCAGAAAACGAATCTGGAATTTGAACTAGGTTTATCCGGTGAAGATAACCGCAAGGAAAGTCGGCTCCCTGTGCCGCGCCAGGAAATTTTTCTAGCCGGAGTCAATCCTTCACATCTACAAATCAAACATTCGCCCTTGCTTGGAGTATTGCTGCCATATATGGTCTAGAGCCTCTTCTGTTTGTCTCAAGGTCCTTAATGAAATCCAAAGACGGATACGCAGTGTAATTGGCCCTGACCTGGAATCTCGTCTGCAGCCGCTCTCTCTCACAGACGTACCGTTGCTTCCCTCTTTCTTTTTTACAAATACTTTCAAGGTAATTGCTCCGATGAGCTGCTTTCGCTGGTTCCCAGACTGCATAAATTTAAGCATTCAACTAGGTTGGCATCTCTCTCTCTCTCACCCTGTCACAATCGAAACTGTTAAATGTAGCCGTCTTTTCTACTCAAATTGCTTCATGTCTCGCACTTCTCGCCTGTGGAACTCCCTACCCCTTTCCTGTTTCCCTGATAGCTATGATCGCCAACTATTTAAATGTAATGTCAATCGACGTCTCCAGGTGCCCTGATTTATTCCCTAACCTTCTCTTCATCCTTTCTGCTATCACACCTCTTTTCTCTCGCTCCAACTCTCTGTAACCTCTTGCGTGCTAGTGGCTTCCCGTCTTGCTTGGGTTTGAATGCTTAAAAAAATTACCCGCACATTATTGGCTGATCATTACTATAGAGAAACGAGTTTGATCCAAACTGGGTGTCCTATACTTGGAATCTTGCCCAAAACATCTCGCCATGGATTAATGGTTACCGAAGTAATCTAATTCACCTTTACAGATGAGTAGTGAGTTTAATCCTAACTGAGCGTTCCATAAATGTGCCAAAACCCGTTAAAGTTATTATACATCAAGAGCTTTAGTGGTGTGGCGACTCTGCAAGTGGTGATGGTTAATGAGCCCCTGGTTG